TTAATTTAGCTAATCCACTAAGCTTGGGGGGTGACCTGCCGCCCATGTTAATTGAGAAGGTGTGATGATCTGTGAACATTTGACTTTTGGGCCTAACTTATCCACTAATTAATTGATTTCAAGAAAAATGAGTGATAGGAACATTCATTTTCCAAAAAAAAAAAAAACAAAAGCATTGTCATCCATAAATGATAATAAATTTAAAATATTCTTGGAGCATATCAAATCAATCAATCATACTGGAAAAAAAAAGAAATTAAATATTGTAACTTCAAAAAACATCAATAATAACTTATTTTATGAGTTGTATGAGAAATTTTAAATTCTTGAATATTATTAATTCATACTAGTATATCCGTGTTTTTTTGAATTAAAAAGAAAACAGGCCAATTGGACTTTAATAAGCCGACAATAATGCTTCCATACTTCATTGCTGATGGCAACATTCATTTCCACCTGTCCTTCATGCTTTCATTTTCCCTTTAATTTTAAGCAAATACCAAATGTGATATGAGGTAAACTTGTTCCTAATGTACCATTCCACTTGTGTTGAGCGGGTTTGGTAATCACAATCCTAGTTCTTTCTCCTGCGTAGCTAGATTCTTTTTTATTTTTTATTTTCCCACCCTGGATGAAATAGCCAGATTGCCTTTGGACACTAATAACAATATGATATTACAAATGGCCCAACCAACGATTTTTCACTTGTAGAGACGACACCACAAGACCTTATGTTATAAATAATAATCTCTCTAAAGATTTTAAGGGCACCATTAGTTTATAGCCAAAACCAGCATGATTTTATTTTTGTTTAGGACAGTGCTACGAAAAATTTGACGTCTTCAAACGCGGAACTTTAATTTTTTTTTTTTAGAATAATACTCTCTCTCTCTTTTTATTTTTTTAAATGCATGTAGTTTGAAGTGATTCAAAGGGCCAAAGATTTGCTCTTGGAGGCAAAATTTTGTGAAGATTTTTTATTGACTATCTAATATTAGTACTATTGATTATACTTTGAATTTGGGCATTGTACCCTCAAATGGAATGGAACTCTCTCACTTTCTAGAAACTCTCCCGGTTTTTGAAAAATTCATGAAAGATTTTGTCATAGTGGATTTCCTCCCTCCGTCTTTATATTTCAAAAGGCATTCTATGGTTGACACTTGATGCTTTCACATTAGAGAAGAAACTTAAAACGAGGAAGAAAAAGAAGGCATCAATAGTAAATCAGATGTATCTTAATTGTTACAATAATACAATAATCTCCCTCCCAAGGGCTTTTCAATTTTAAACAAAAATGTACAGAAACGGTTCTTGATTGATGAACAACTCATTCCGCTAGGTTAGAGGAAAAGCCATATCACCTACATTCAACCAGAAAAGCGGTACAGATTTGTCTTAGTGGAATTTGTTTTTTGTCTTTAAGCCCTCCACTTGCGCTCATATGGATATCCAACTCATGAAACATACAAGGCCAGACAGTGACAACCTCTCACTTCTGGTCGAAATATTATATACTACTTTTGGTCTTAACTATAAAAACTAGTTGACTAATTTGAAGAGATTAATAAAAAAAGTTAAGTTAACTATTTGTAATAAATATGTGTTGTCTTTCTTAAAATATTCTTGCTAATTAAGTGTATTAGCTATACCTACCATTGTTAGAAGGTCTTGGAAAAAAATATATAATATGAGAGACAAAGTGGATTGGGTCTTATATTTAGGATTAAAATAAAAGTCAAATAAGGTTTTATATTAAAGACCGGAGGTAATACATGCACACACATATATAAATATAATGCCTTTTTGTTGGCAAAATTTTCTTCCTCTGGCAAAATCAAAGGATCGAAAACTTGAAATTGAGTCTTGCAGATTTTCAAAAGTCTCCAGAAAGAAATTGAGATTTTCCAATTAAAAAAATGCCAAAGGAATCATCTTTTGGTGAGTTCATATAAAGGGTAGGTTCCAATTTGGCAGATAGTTGTATATAATTCAACCATGCTCACCTAAACGCGTTGAATAATACCACCCACCACATAATACGTCGCATTCCATTGGCTTCATCATCAAGATCATCCTTCTCTTCGTCCTACTAATTATACCAGCAAGCTTCACAATTTTCTTGCTCATAACCCATTAGGCCATCACCTTTTCCCCATGTTCATCTTGCTTAGATTCAAAAACAGTGCCTAAGCCCCCACCATGCACCTCAAGCATCTCTGCGTCATTTTACCTGCAGATTCCGCTGAGTTTAAGCATCACCCACCATCAAAAGTCAACCGATTCTCCCGGAAAGAAACCAAGACAAAGAAACAACAGAGGGCTTGTGGGGGTCAAGTTCTTGCCTTCCTTCGTGATTCTCTGAGCAAATTATATGGCAGAAACTGTTCGAGGTTTTTCCACAATGAAGTGGGGAAAGGGAAACAAGGCTCAGTCGTGCTGTTTCATGACATGGACGGAGTACAACTCTCTGCCAAGATTGGTGGGGACAGCCCACGAATCTTCAGCTTCGCTGAGCTTTTCATAGGGTCTAATGGTTTCAGTGAGGATCATGTTCTGGGAAGTGGAGGATTCGGCAGAGTGTACAAGGCTGTTTTGCCCAGTGATGGAACAGTGGTTGCTGTCAAATGTTGCTTGGCAGAGAAAGGGCAACAATTTGAGAAGACTTTTGCTGCTGAGTTAGCAGCCGTGGCCCATCTTCGTCACAAGAACCTTGTCAGGCTCAGAGGTTGGTGTGTTCATGAAGATCAGTTATACCTTGTCTATGATTACATGCCTAACCTCAGCCTTGACCGCATACTTTTTCGGCGGCCTGAGAATCCAAATGCAGACCCTCTTGGTTGGGGAAGGCGTGGGAAAATTATCAAAGGTTTGGCAGCTGCATTATACTATCTTCATGAGCAACTAGAGACCCAGATCATTCACAGGGATGTGAAAACCAGCAATGTGATGCTTGATTCCCAATATAATGCTCGGTTGGGTGACTTTGGCTTGGCAAGGTGGCTAGAACATGAGCTTGAGTACCATCCAAGTAGGAAAACATCAACCAAGGTTGACCCTTTCAGGTTGGCAGAGACAACAAGAATTGGCGGCACAATCGGGTATCTGCCTCCCGAGAGTTTCCAGAAAAAAAGCATCGCTACTTCGAAATCTGATGTGTTCAGCTTTGGCATAGTTGTGCTGGAAGTGGCATCTGGAAGGAGAGCCATTGATCTTGCATACCCTGATGATAAGATCATTTTACTTGACTTCGTTAGAAGACTATCTGATGAGGGAAAGCTCCTAGCTGCAGGGGATACTCGGCTACCGGATGGTTCCTACAAGCTTGCTGAGATGGAGCATTTTCTTCACATAGGCCTTCTTTGTACGCTCCATGAACCACAATCGAGGCCTAGCATGAAATGGATTGTAGAAGCACTTTGTGACATTTCAAGCCCATTGCCAGCTCTTCCTTCTTTCCATTCCCACCCCTTGTATATTACTTTGTCTTCTCCGTCGGACACAAGTCTCAGCAGCACAAATGCCTCCAGCACTGTCACAGAAAATGTCAGCACAATCACAAACTATTCTTCATCCAACTATGTCACAGCAAATGGGAGAACAATATACATGACTGCTGAAGATAGAAACAGCGGTATCTCCTCTGCAAAGAGCATGTATCGCCACAAATCATTTCCTGTGGTTGAAGCACCAAGGGAAATATCATACAAGGAGCTTGCCTTGGCCACAGATCATTTTTCAGAGTCAAGGAAGGTGGCAGAGCTAGACTTTGGAACTGCCTACTATGGCATCCTTGAGGATCGTTACCATGTCATGGTGAAACGCCTTGGAATGAAGACCTGCCCTGCACTGCGTGAAAGATTCTCCAATGAGCTGCGAAATCTAGCAAGGCTTCGCCACCGGAATTTGGTGCAGCTTCGAGGATGGTGTACTGAGCAAGGGGAAATGCTTGTTGTGTATGATTACTCAGCAACAAGACTTCTCAGTCACCATCTTCTCCATCATGACAATCATAGAGATGGCCGTTCTGTCTTGCAATGGCATCATAGATACGGTATCATAAAATCACTAGCTTCTGCTATTCTTTATCTTCACGAGGAATGGGAAGAACATGTAATTCACAGGAACATCACTTCTTCGGCTGTTGTCCTTGAGCCAGATATGAACCCAAGACTCAGCAGTTTTGCCCTGGCTGAATTTTTGACCCGGAATGAGCATGGCCATCATGTAATCAAAGACACCAGCAAATCAGTTCGAGGGATTTTTGGCTACATGTCACCGGAATATATAGAATCCGGTGAAGCTACCTCAGCCGCCGATGTTTACAGTTTTGGCGTGGTGGTGCTTGAAGTTATCAGTGGACAGATGGCTGTGGACTTTCGGCAGCCTGAGGTGCTATTGGTGAAGAAAGTTCATGAATTTGAAACAAGAAAAAGACCACTGGAGGATTTAGCAGATAGGAGGCTCAACGGAGAGTACAATTACAAAGAACTCATGAGATTGGTAAAGCTCGGAATTGCATGCACCCGATCTGACCCACAGTCAAGACCAAGCATGAGACAAATAGTAAGCATCCTTGATGGAAATGATCGATTGATCATGGAGAAAAACCAGAAAGAGAGCACGGAAGAATGGAAACAGAGGAATGCTTATTCATTGTCATTGATCAGGAGAATCCAAGCTCTAGGCATACGTTGAGAGTTTTTTCAACACAAAGATGTAAAATATGGGTTTTAGGAGTTCTTATTGATTAGAAAGTTTTTCTTCTTTGTCATTTCTTGATTGAGCTAGAATTTATGCATACTAAATGTGCCGTGACTGTATATAACAAGACAAGACTACTAGACTAGTGTATTGATGTATCCTTCTGCTGGAGGGGGGCGTTAATTTTGAATTCTACTACAGCATTTGTGCTTTGCTTTATTGAATTTCAGGATCACCAGAAATATAGACTACGCTTTTAGCATGATTTCAGGAAAATAAGCAAAGATTAGGGGGCCTAAAGGGTACAATTATGATCAAATACAACACCGTGTTTTCAAGTAAGGTTCAAACGCTAGACGATGCATGAAAGATATAGAACTAAATAACCGTACACCAGCATATTTATAACAGTCAAAGTCATATATATTTAACAAAGCCTAACATCAGTGAGTCATCTCTGCAGGATGGCCTTCTGTTTGATGATTCAATTCATCCTCATCAATCCCAACCCATTTTAAGAAGCCAAAGAGGAATTCCCTGAAAGTGACTTGCCCATTTCTGTCCCAGTCCATTTCTTCTGCAAAAATGACGGACAGAAAAAGGTATTTAAAACAGATAATAAAACAAGAAAGGGAGGGAAAAAAAACAGGTAGACTGTTAGTAATGTCAGAAGAAAAAAGCGAAGCAAATAAATACTAAATCTGATCTTAGTGACGTCAGCTGGGGATCTTTCCCAAGGGTAAGTCTCATTCAGGGTCTTGTCCACGTCCTTCCTGTTTAGCTTGCCATCACCATTTTATCTAGAAACAGAAAGACTTCGACTATCGTGTGAAAAATTGTTCCCAGCTGTGTTAACTCCACCTTGATGAAAGAAACAAAAATCATCATATGATAATAAGAAGAATATCAAGAAGGCACAAAAACCAAGTTTTTTGCCCAATACATTATCAGAGGATGAATATTCTTCTAGAAGATAGATGAGGCATAGAAGAACGATAAATTCATTAAACCGTATGCCCTTGCTTCCATCAATATCACAGTAATGAAAAAGATCTTTAGTTTCCTCCTCTGGTAGATCAATTTGCAGTTGTTCAAAGCACTTTTTTAGTTCACTGTACTCTATAGATCCGTTAGAGTCCTCATCTTTGTAACACGTGAGATAAAAGTTAGTTTTCTTTAAAAAATGAAGAACTACAGTTCAAAGAAAATAACGTGGGATGGACATTGAAAATGGGAACTTACCATACTGTTCAAAGATTCCTTCTAATGTTTTGAGTCCCTCCCTGATCTGAGGGAACCGCATAACGACTCTATCAATTGACTTGAAAGCTCTTTGTCCAGCAGAAGAAGATCTATCGATTTCAACTAATTTCCTTTCTATCTTCCTATCCAACTTCTTGTATTTGTTTGCTTTAGTCAGACAACAAATCATGGCTCCCATTTTATTCAGAAATGGGCAAGGATAAGACATCCCTTGCAATGACAGACAGGGAAACCAATGAGTGCAGCAAAATATACGAACTACTGCATTTTCAAGTTGAATGACCAGTTACTGTTTATGATTAATGATTGTTTTAACATAAAGCAAATTTCATTTATGTAACATGTAATTAAATGATTCTACGCAGATCAGGATAATCAATGTTTCCCTATTCTTTGTTTCATCTCCGAACACGTATTGATATGAGTTGCTAATATTTTCTTTTTCTTTTCTTTTCTGAAAGAAAAACGATTTTTAAGATTCTTACAATGAATAAATTTTATTAGAGTACAAGAACAGAACGCTAAATTGATCCAAGTGAAATTTAAACAAGCAATGCAAATTAGGTGAGAGTTGACAGAAATTGCTTTGGATAATGATGTTAAATGCAATGTTATTGACAGGCTTTGAAAAATTAGAAAACAGCAAAAAATGGAAGTTGGTAAAATTTTATAAATAATAAAAAACATGATAAAAAATTAATTTCAAATAATACAATAAAATTAAAATAAATTAATATGAAGAAATCAAATTTAATGAGTGGATTAAATTTTAAAATTTTAAAGAAATCATAAAAAATATTTTAAATATACAGTGAAACATGGAGAAAAAAACAGAACTGAGATAATATAATAAAGAAGTGAATAAAAAAATGGAGAGAGAACTGACAAAAAATATAACGGTCCAGAGAGCTTTGTGATCGGGCGTTGCAATTTCAAAAAGGTTCTTCACAGAGCTTAACCGATCGAGCGGTGCAATCTGATTTTTGGTGGATAAGCTGGATGGCCCAAACGCTGATCCAAACTGCCTTCAATATGCAATCGGGCTTATTATAGCTTTTCATCAACGTTTGGCCCATAAAACGCTCTCCCAAACAGGATCTAACTAATGATGCAGCTGCCTTGAACTGCAAGAAACACCAAACTTCTGCTCCAAGCACATGAAGCTGACTACAATTTGTTTGATGTGCTTATGATAAAAAGGATTCTTTTTTTTTTTTAGTAGAAAGACGCAGTAAATATTCTACAGCGAACTAGAAAATCATGCAGCAGAGCAAAAGGAAGGAAGTCTTATATATCTTCATAGAAGGATTAAGGGTGTTCTTGACTTGAGTCAAGTATTCAAGTTCGATGGTAATCTACTCAAAACAAAATCTATTTCATAACCAAATTGCTTCGCACATGGATCAAACTAAGACTTATACAGTATATACATATATATATAGTCCCCTTTTGCGAACTAAATTAAACACAATCGTCATCAGAAGAATCGAATGAAACTGAGAGAATATTGAGAGAGGGATTTAACAAACAAAGAAGTAAAGAAGTCGGGGAAACGGAGAAAGGAAAAGCAGAAAAACTTACTGAGTGAAACTTTGATGGTTGATCAAGAAATGGAGGGAAAGGGTGGAATAGGTGTATATATAGATCGATGCATGAGAAAGAAAGAAAGAAAGAATAAGGGAGATTGACAGAGAGAGGAAAAGCAAAGAGTAGTGGGATCCAAAGTTGGGGATGCCACCACCCCCACGATGGCTCCCTCTTTCTTGACATTTCTCAGGAATATGTTCCCGCTTTGTCGTGACTCTCAAGCTACGAATAATTTCACTGCATTACTTAGCTCATAAATAATTAAAACCAGAAAAATATAGTTTTTAAAATAATAGTATTTCGTAATTTCGTTTTGATATTTGTTGACCATTTTTATTTTGACACTTCAATTATAAAGAGTAAATATGTTATGAAGTTATAAAAATTATAATAAGTATTTTAACAATTCATTACGTATGAGGCATTAGTTTTTAAAAGATTTTTCTTTTGAAACTGAATAATTCTTTTAATTTTATCATTAAAAATGTTTTAACGTTTTAGTGTTTTAATACCATCCTCTAATTCTCAATTGATTTTATTTTTTAAATTTATAATGATTTCTTAAAAAACGACACATTAAAAAATTTGTATAAAAATATTTTTAATATATATGATTAAAAATATTTTCTGGTCATTTTCAAAAGATTTTTTAACTAAATATTCAAAGATGGAGACGGGATTGTATGAATTTTGCAGGGTCTTAAATGTAATTTCGTCACGAATTTAGTCTCCCTGCTAACGCAAAGTACGGTAAACTGTCTAATCCCCGAGGGACCTGACTTCTCTCCGCTGACAAGGTCCCTGCTGCCCTCCTCTACCCAAAACACTGCCGTTTTGAGTACAAAATGAGAGGAGCTGATTGCTTTTTTTTTTTTTTTTTTTTTGTATTTTGAAGTTTTTTAGTAGCATCTAAAATATTTTTTTGATAGCACCTAATGTCTCATAATAATTTTTGGTACACTTAATACTCTAAAATATTTTTGATACATTTAGCATCTTAAAATATTTTTTTCATAAGCATCAAATATCTTAAAATAATTTTTTGTTACATTCAGTATTATAAAATATTCTTTTAGTGACTGGCTTAAAAAAACAAAAATACAAAAAAAAGGGAATACAAAAAAAAAAATCTGCTCCTTCATTTTGCACCCAAAACGGCAGTGTTTTGGGTAGAGGAGAGCAGCGGAGGGACCTTGTCAGCGGAGAGAAGCCATAGCAAATCCGGGATTACCAGAGAAAATCTGGTCACTAGCGTGAGGGGGAGAGCGCAAAAGAGAGAGTGAGAAACAATGGAGGGTTCAATAGTTAGCAGCAGAAGCTATTGTGTTTCTCATCCTCATGCCCCTTCACCCCATAGATGTGCTTCATTACCAGCGGTCTCCAAACTTCCTACATTTTCAGCTGGATGTCCTCGGCCATCTCCTTCGCTCTCTCTTTTCATCCACCCGATACACAAGAAGTCAACCAGTAATCTCAACCGGTTTCATCGTCGAACCTTCATCGCTTGCTCGTCTGACAGGGACTTTGTAAACGAGGCTCCAGTAAAGGTACTTCGCCGCCTTCTCGACTCGCCAGGAGTTCATCAAGGCCCTGCATGTTTCGATGGTCTCAGTGCGAAGCTAGTTGAAAGAGCTGGATTCCGATACTGCTTTACCAGCGGTATTCACTTCTCAAGATCTGAGGATTCATTCGTTATTATTATTTCTGGCCAATGAATGAGGATATCAGTTATTGATCTGTGTGTTGATAGATGGGAACCATTCAAGACCATAGGTCACTAGTTAGATTGCTTGAGAATCAGAAGGCGTCTAAAAGAGTAAAAGATCTGTGATTATGGAATATTCTAAATTAACATCTTTAAGTGGCTTCTTTCTCCGCAATATTCATTCTTCAATTGGCTTTACTCATTACTTTGCTTCTTTTTAAGTTTTCCCCATCTTTGAGCTAGTTGATTTTAATTGTTTGGTGTCGATTTAACAACTGATCTTTTTAATACGCCATTATATGAAATGTGTCATTTTGCAGATGTTTGGATTTCAAAAGCTTGGAAAATTGCCATTTTCACTGCTACAGCGCTTAGCCTTTATATTACCCGTAAATTCAGATTATGTCGCCTTATACCTCGTTTCAGATTCATCTTCTCTAACTCAAAATGTTCACAGCACTTGAGTTTTGTTATTTGTAAAATGTATAATTGCTTTTTGTTTTTACAGAGCCATACTCCTGCCAAAAGGGTATAATGGCAAATCTAGGCCTTAGAGAACATTTGAAGATAAACAAGTGGTAGGAAGCAGATTAACAGTATCAATAAACATCAACCTCATTAACTACTTTATACTTCAGAATTCCGAGATGTGTTTTAGCTTGCGGATCAGCAACTTAACTTTTCTTGCCTGTGCTTTGGTTAGGTTTTTCAATATCAGCTTCCAGATTGGGGTTGCCAGATACAGGCTATATGTCTTATGGAGAAATGTTGGATCAGGGTCAACAGATTACACAAGCTGTGTCAATTCCTGTCATTGGGGATGGCGATAATGGATATGGGAATGCAATGAATGTTAAAAGGACAGTCAAGGGTTATATTAGAGCTGGTTTTGCTGGAATCATTCTCGAAGATCAGGTTTCTTTCTGTATGTCATGTTTTTATTCCGGAAGAGTTTTGTGGTGATCTAATAATTATCTCCATTCTCTTTGTATCTGTCTCTAACATCAATCCTAGTATTCCTTATGTCATGGACTTATTCTATTGTTTCCTTTATTAGGCTTGTTGTTGTTGTTTTAGTATTCAGTTTTTCCTGATAATTATGGCTAGGTATCTCCAAAAGCATGTGGCCACACAAAAGGAAGGAAAGTGGTATCCAGAGAGGAGTCAGTGATGCGGATTAAAGCAGCTGTAGATGCTAGAATAGAGAGTGGGTCTGATATAGTCATTGTAGCACGAACTGATTCTCGTCAAGCAGTGTCATTGGATGAAGCACTCCGAAGATCAAGGGCTTTCGCTGATGCTGGAGCAGATGTTCTTTTTATTGATGCATTGGCATCAAAGGAGGAAATGAAAGCATTTTCTGAAGTTTCTCCCCTTATTCCAAAAATGGTATTTTTTTCAGTCTGCAATCAAATTTTTTAATAAATATATATTATTAAAAAAAAATATTTTAATCATTTCTTATATGTAAAAGCTTCTAGGTAGTTATAGAATTTTTAATTAGTAAGCATTAAGCAATAATTGTAGTTTGTTTGTGTGTGTGAAGCCATCAGGAAAAATGTATGCATTATTGTAAGATCTTGTAGTCTTGTGTAGGCCAATATGCTTGAAGGAGGAGGCAAAACACCAATACTTGATCCTCAAGAACTTGAAGATATTGGCTACAAACTTGTGGCATATCCACTTTCTTTGATTGGTGTTTCTATACGGGCAATGCAGGTGACATGCCTTTTTCCTCTCCTTTTTCTAAGAAACAATATAAGTTACTAAATTTGCTTATTGGCAAATAAAATTAACTGAAAATTTTCTATTTATATCTTAAGATATTTGACATATAGAAGGAAATCCCAATACTCATCTTGAATAAGTTGTTACCATTATTTTCTTGATCTAAAATTAACATTCTTAAGGGTGCATGGAGATGCCAAATTCCAAATCCATGCTTTAGTTTAATTAATGAGTGTATTATAAGGCATCATTTATTTGCAGCGATACTCTCTTGTTCCCTCTCAAAAATATGAGTAGACAATCTATCTAAAGCGAAGAAGGAATTGCTGTACTGTAATGTTTGTAGGGAATATTTTGAAGCTAGAATAGTTTTATCAGAACTCCTAGGGGTTGATGATTTGGGATCTTTTAACTGAGTAATTTTGCGATTATAAATCTATCTGTTTTGGGGATGTTCTAAATGAGGTCAATCTACAATGACTTCAAATCTTGCAAATATAGTAATGGGGTCAATTGTCCAGTTACTAATGTGGCATGAAGAATTTTGGACCTCATGTCTGCCCCTCACAAGTGCTACCAAGTTCAGGATTGAGTTGAGACTAGAGGCGTTGAGCAGTTATTATGTCCATTTGTCGTGCTTGTTTACACTCATGAAATTGAACCTATTATATATAGCAAATTTTTTAGCTCATGATTTGGCAATCTATCCGACCTCTTTCAATGTTTCGTCAAGACTAAAGGATGATTTTGTTTTTTTGTAAAGTAATTAAGAATAAATTATTTCAATGACTTAAACTTGTAGGACTCCCTGACTGCCATTAGAGGAGGTCGTATTCCTCCTCCTGGAACCATGCCATCTTTTGAAGAAATTAAGGATATCTTAGGCTTCAATACTTACTATGAAGAAGAGAAGCGTTATGCTACAAGCCTGGATCAGCCAACGAGAGGTTAGTGAAAGACCTGTTACAGAATGCTTGTCTTAAGAGGCAAATAAAGCAATGGCGCCAAGCTTCTCATATGTGAATGTGATATATATCTCTAAATTTACTTTTAGATCATTCTACTGTACATTCTTGTTTTGCTTTCTTTTCAAATAATTTTGTGCTTATATATGTTGACTCAGCATTCTACTTCCATAAATGTGTGCGAAGGCGAAGTTCTTTTGCTGATAATAGAATCATCCCATGGGTTCATCTGCATAAATAATTATCTTGGACAGAATCTTGTGAACTTTCTGGAGAGTTCTGTTCGTGTGGAGCAAATATTCTCTTGGATATGTTTGATCATGCTTTATTGAGGAAAAAAACATCTAATTAATTGTCAAGGCAATTAATCAACTATCTTTTCATGAAGAATCCATCTCACCACCCTTGCATCAACTCCATGTCAGTTCAATGCAAATATATAAGCAGTCGAAGAGAAAGATCCACTGCATATTGTTGATATTCACATTGCATGTAAATAAATATATATTCCACAATTGCATTCTTATTGTATGCAGTTATTTGATAGTGAGCAGTAGCGTCTACAGTATACAAAGGAAGGATCAAGTTCATACAGAGGAGACAAGTCAAAGTTCTCAAGAACCCATTGTGGAAGTTATAACCCCTGATGTGTACAATAACTATGGTGCAGATGGTTCAAAGGACCCTTTTTCAAGGATCTGGTCTCGGTCTCTGAGAATCAAAATAACAGGAAGAGATGGATTTGAGAAACTTGATCTTAGGATTCCTGTAAGTCAGCTTGTGCTTCCAGAGATGGATTTGCATGTGAATAATTTTTATTATTTCATTATGTTGTCACACCTTACATTTAAGGCTGGAATAGATGCGTTATGAATCCTGATTTCTGAAAATTGTTGTAATTCTTACCCATCTACTCAATCACTTTGAGAAGCTAATATTTAGTTCCTTATTTCTAGTTTAACATATGTTACTCTATTGGGCATGTAAAGCACCCATATCTTGATCTCCTTGTTTTCTTTTGGTCATATATAGTTCTGCAAGTACTTCCTCTATGGTCAATGTTCTATTCATCTCAATAAGTAGGCGGATCTTAAGTTTCATATGATTGCTTGTATCTTGTTATGTTTTGTTCCATGAAAAAGTTTTCTTTGTTCTTTCTTCGTTTTTTGGCTGATTTTTTCCCCCCGTTATTCACATCATACATACAGGCGGGATTCTTGGAGGGAGTCACAAATATAGTTCCAGGTACTATTCAGGAATTCTTCCGTAATACAGTATAAATTGATATCTATTCCAGGTTTGCAACCTAAGCTGACAACTTCTGTCTCAACTTTCCACAGCTCTGGGGGGCGTAAATCTCAAAGAACTGTTGGATGATGCAGCAGGGGAAGTTGGGGGCAAACAGTTGTTGGATTTTAATGACACTATGGGTGACAGAATTCAAGTATTTCTGGAGTGACACTACATTCCCATGGTATATTGTTCTGGACTGCTGGCTTTGCTAAATCAAATCGGATAAAACCTCATCATAGCATGTTGAAAAATTAATGTTGATTCATTTATTATTGAAGTAAATGACCAACTTGAAAAACATCTACGTACCCAGGGTATTGTAGTTGCATTTGCTATCTAGTAAATGCTATTCCTTCAACAAGGAGATGATCTAGTTTTTTTTTGAAACTGTGTGTAGAAATTATAAGAAAAGCTAAACTTGATTCTTTGTTTAAGAACTTAAGCTTTCTTGTTTAGATGGTCATAGAACTAGATATTATTAACAAGGTATTGCAAGGGGTAGGATTTTGTCTAATGTGGCATGTTAACTTATGATAAAAACTATTCCTAAGCCACCACTTAGGACCCAAGTTTTTGAATTGAAATGGTGGTTGACAAATATGACGGCAAGAGCATTTTTAAAAAAAAATTATTATTGAGAGTTAACGATGCCTGCTTGCCATCTTCTTCTGGCCTTTATTCTTTATCTGTTGATGATGCTGTCCCAGGTTTCGTTAGATTCATAATAATGGTAATAAAAGTAGGCTGGGATGATCAAAGCCTGCTCAAGGCACCCCATGGGGGTTTGAAGGGCTAAAGTGAGGCCAGGTATCTAAACCCCAACTCTCGATTGTTTCCTGTAACTTTCACTACAACTACACTCGAGAGTCCCAGAGATTACACGGACTAATGATACCATGTTTTCAGTTTTTCTGTTTTCTTTTGGGGTGTAACCCTTTGCAAACGGATGAAACTATAAGGCGGCTCGAAGGGGTGGATTATCTGCATTTTCTTGATTCCTTGCTCTTTAACTCATGGCACAACTGATGCGGGGAATCAAACAATGCGCAATCTGTCAGCTTGCTGCAGTTTAAGGGTTCTTAAAAAGCATGTCCAAGTAGGCACAGCTGGACGAAATCATGTCATGTTTTCTTTTGACTCAGTATCGACTTTCACGTCATACTTGGAAAAGCTTCCGTTGTTTAACAATTAATTATCGTTAACCAACTTTACCATTCAAACCTGAACTCTTAAGTATATGCACAAAATTTCTTTTTTCAAAAAAAGATCTTACGCCATCAAAGTTAAATCTACACGCACGCCCGTGCATATATTTCGCGCGCGTATGTATTGCATCCATCTCCTAGGTTGGCGGGAGAGATGTCGTGGTGAGTCATTGAGCTTTTATTCGTTGTGCCGCAGAATTTGGCAAGATCAAATTATGAATTTTTTATGTTGAAAAACGAGTAGAAGCTTGCCTAATAATGAATCCATGGATCAGTGTTTCTCACTGAAGGTAGGGAAAATTAGTAGTTTGGACTTTGGATTGATTTTACGCCCTCTCACTGCTACTTGTTCAACCAAATCCAGTTCTTATCCAGTGTCAAAAATTTAAAAAAGTTTGATTGCCAAGGAGTTTTGAATTCTTTTTTTTTTTTTTTTAGAGGAATTGAACTTTAGATGAAATTGTGAATCATGAATTCTAAAATAAGAGACTACGGAAGTATTTGGCAATTCCTCTGCCGCAAGATGAATAGAAAGAGGCAAAGCTGGAAATCCGACTCATAACAACTGTGCTGCTTCTTAGGAGTCCAATTATCTACAATGTTCGAAGGAGAGTTTGTAAGTGCTTGCTTGCAGTCAGCATTCCATCGTGAAAATCTTGTCACCCACCTACTTGTGTTCAGCCGAAAATTACAAATATAATACTATGTCCGATCCTAATTATAAAAACTAATCAATTAATTGGAAGAGATTAAAAAAACAAGTTAAGTTAGTTATTTATAATAAATATGTTATCTTTCTTGAAACACTCTTACTAATCAAGTATATTTGCTAGAACTATCATTGTTAGAAGAATTATCTTTAAAAAAAAACTTAAATATAAGATAAAGTGAATTAGAATCTTATATTTAAACAAAATAAAAATCAAATAAAGTCTTATATTAAGGATCGGAGGTAATAGTAGTAGTAGTAGTAATAATAAATGAAAAAAGAATATATTAATTTTACACCACATATTGGTGTGCAAAAATGAAGAACGAACCAAAAGGACAGTAGCCTGAGGTTATTCTAATCATTCACTGGTACTCAATACAAGCCAAAGCTCCTATAGAAACGTGTGACCCCAAAAAGAATGACAAAAGCAGATGTTGAACAATAAACATACATCACACCGGGTCACTCTACAAAAAATTACAACTCTTGTTAAAAATACAGTGCTTTAAAATCAAATCTCAAAATGTTGACCACCAAGGTAGTAGCACACTTGCACCAGTATCGCCACGCCATCTCTTCATTGTAGAGTGAAACAATCGGAGTAAGAATACTTTACCTTGCAATCTAGAAATGATGCTCATTTTCATCGATAACCACCGCCATATGGCTGGTGAGGGTAACCACCTGGACCCATCATGGGGTTATAGTTACCGGGTATGTTGGAGCCAGGGGGCATACCAGTAGGAGGTTGCATCTGGACTCCTTGCCCCATATTCATCCCCATCCCCATTGATGGATTAATGCCCCCATAGCCGCCCATACCCATACCAACACCAGGACCATTGCCCATGCCCATGCCCATGCCCATGCCCGCCCCTGATCCCATCATCGCGTTAGCCGGAGCTCTGAGGGCACCAGCACCAGCACGACCAATTCCTGAGCCCGATCCCATAGCTTTACCCATGTTCACAGTCGATGTTACAGTGGTGGTTGTGGGCTTCTCCATCCTCTTTTCCTTTCTATTAATGGCATCAAAGTCAATTCCGATATCTGCCAAGGGGTTTATTTTAGCTGCATAGAAAAAGCATAAAATCAATTATTCAAGCATATGAGGTGTTCCAAGTGAAGCAGGTTATAGAAACATCAAATCAGAACAGCTTGGTAAGGTGTGATCACTCACGGCCAGATATGTTCAAGTTAACCAGTCCTCGGCTTAGTGTATCTGCCCAAACAGTTGATTTTGTCTCGAACTTGTCCTTGGATTGCAGAGAAACTACAGCAATTGGTCCAGACGAAGAAACAGCATAGGATGAAGCATTAGGAGCACTTCCTCCAGATGAACCAGGTAAGCTACCTAAAACATCATTTTGTTTTCCCCCGGGCACACTTTGTGGTTGATGGGTAATCGATGAGCCAAAGGGAGCTGCAGTGCCCTGTTGTGCAACAAAGTTCCCACTGTTATGCTGTGATGCAGGGCCAAATGGAGATTGAGCAGTAGATCCTCCCTGCTGTAGAAAATGGTTTGCACTCTGTGAATCTTGTCCTGTTGGAGCTTGAGAGACCATCGATGATGGAATAGAAGCTGTGGATCCTTGTGGGAGGAAGCTCTCACTGCCGATCTGTCCATTATGTCTATTTTGGGACTGAGAGATGTTTGGAGGCTGTGGAGTCAGAGATACCGCCTGAGAGTTGAATCCACCATGTAGATTAACATTTGGCTGTGCAGGTTGACCCCCATGAGCAGAAAAAGGTGGCTGTGTAGAATGGTCACTGGGAGATGAAAATGCATGCTGTCCAGGTTGGCCAGTGTGAGCCGAAAAGGTCTGATGTGGAGGTTGCCCAGCAGGAGTTGTAAAAGGTTGGGTGTGTTGGCTAGTTGGACCTGAAAAAGGAGGTTGCATTGATTGGCTTGTAGGAGCTTGAAAGGCTTGCTGGACAAGATGGCCAGGGGGAACTGAAAAAGCTTGGTGTCCAGGTTGACTTGTTGCAGCAGAGAAACCTTGCGGCGCAAGTTGACTGCTTGGTACAGAAAAAGATTCTGGTGCAGATTGCCCAGTTGAGGGTAAGAAGGATGGAGGTGAAGGTTGGGAAGCAGCAGTTGATACGTTTGGGTGTGAAGTCATCACAGGTAATGGTGCTGGAGGAAGAATATCTGCAAGGATATCAGTTTCCTGCGGTGGAGCTGACAAATCTTGAGGCAAGAACTGGGAGCTTGTTGAGAAAGATTGCGCATGAGGGGCACCAGGCGCAGAGAGTGGTGCAGCAGAGAATGAATCCCCAAACCCAAAGTTCGAGACATTTTCTGAGGTAAGACCACTTGATTGGGATGGTTCAAAACTCTGATATGTCTGAGGTTGATTTGAAGCAGTTTCTGCAGAAGGAATAGCCTTGAAAGGTGAATCACCAAATGGATCCTCAAATGGCTGCCAAAAGTCATCCAACAATATTAGTTTGACAAAAATCACAAAAGGACTAATATTTGACAAGAAAACAGAGGGACGTCTCACACACAAAGGCATTAAAGCATCTAAGAATTATTCAAAGCATATGTGCTTGTATGAGCCATCTATGGAAGACACTCTCAATTTCCAAATCGGATCTCCTTCACTAAAGATCAAACTCATTGCAGACCACAAACAGGACTGAAATTAATATTGCTGGTGACTTGACATGATGTCTTCTAGTTTTCAATTCTTTTGCTAAAAGAAATATTTTTTAAATAGATTTTTCTTTAAGTTAAAATAATACCAAACCCATTCATCATACACAATTTATAGAGATTTATCCGCCAACATAAATTCACCCATTATATGGAAAAATAAGCAGTTTTATAACCATCCATCATCCATGAACAAAATATCAAGTGCTTTGTCCAACTGACAAAGGGGAAAAAAAAAATAACACCTATGTACACTAGAAGTGCAGCCACACACAAATCCTACCTGATTGATGTTGTTGGACCCAGATGCTGCAAAGGGAGCTGCAGAACCATTACTTGCATTGGCTTCAAGGGCAGTGGTTGCTGAAGTGGCTGGCACTAAAGCCAGTGCATTTGGAGAAGAAAATGACTCCGAAAGTGAGCCAAGCAAGTCTATTTCAACATTTTTAGAAGCAGCTGGGGCAGCTGAAAAGAAACATAAAGATGTGCTAAGAGTGTGAAAGTTCGTGAATATTACCAGCAAAAAAATCGATCTCAAAAGTTAAAATGCAAGCTCTTTATGACCATCAATTTTGAAATTGAGATTTTACAAAATATCAAATAACTGCCAATGATAATTCCTGTTACATATTGAAGTCCACATTTGTGGAGTAAATATTAACAATTCATTATACTTGGTAACTTTATTGTACTACTCTTTACTATTCCCCGAAAAAAAAGACAATATTACAAGGAATCGGAGCCTATTGCTATCCCTTCCAGCCGCACGTCCTCTCAGCTGTGGCTCATTACAGCCTAAGTATTCTGAATCATTAAGCTCTTCGTGGCTGTTAAGCTGAAAACTCCTTCGCCCAAACCTGGCACATGGCCCACCACCGTATCTAGAAGACCCTAATTATTCTAAAACTTTGTACGTAACAAAGCTTGATACAGATTATTTGCGTATGATCCAGCTTAAGTTTTTTTTTTTTTTTGGGGGGGGGGGGTGTCTACAATAATGTACATATCAATTGCATTTGTAGCCCTACGTATTAGGGTAAGGGCTCAATGTACTCATCTCCATTTATTCCCCCATAAATAAGACTAAAGTGTAAGAGAGTAAATACACCAATAATATCCATTCATCTTTCTCACCCTGGTTTCTCAATTCCCTATGGCATATTAAGACTAAGGAAAAAGTGCAAATCAACTGCGCCGTCATGCCGCATGCCATATAGGTGAACATTCCCTGAAAGCAATCCCAACAAGTCTATAGTCTAGTAATCCATCACATGCTGTTTTCTCTATACACATATGACAAATATAATTGCCATCTTAACTAGAGAACAGCTACTTTTACCCCTCTTTGATTTGGGAATCCTGCTTCATTACCGGATGCATAGCAAGATGCAGTTTCAGATCTATCCATAATTTCAGCAGATAGTGGAGTGTGCATACCACTCCATAAAGTATAACTTAATACTATGACAAAAGTCTAGAAGACAGTCAACTCATCAGGGAAAGAATACCAGAACCTATCTTGCTTCACTTGCAAGTTGCAACCACATAAATAGGCAGCAAAATTGCTACAAACTTGCTTAGAAGCAATAAAAATCCTAGAAAGAACGTTGCATACCTGATAAAGGACCACGGGGATCAAATTCATCAAAACTCTCAACTTCGTGGTTTGCAGATGGAGCAACACCAACAGCAGCAGTTGCCAGGGTTGGATTATTGCTTACATGAGGAGAAGATCCTGTATGAGCAGAATTTTGAGCCATATTATCATTTACATTTGGAGAAGAACCCCTTGGGACAGCAGCTGTTGAAGCTTCTACATCCCTGCATTCAGCAAAATATTAGTTAGTAACAGTTTTCTGTTCTCGGTGCTTAGTACATCATGTCAAGTATAAAATTCAAACCTTTCACCATGCATAGGGCTTCTAGATTCGCTAACAGATTCTTCATAGCTAGGAGGGCCACCGACATTTTGCTCAGAAAGTTTGCGTTCCAGCCTGTCATTGTACAGTGAATGATCAATCTCAATAATACCAAAACGGAATATAAAAGCAGGCACAAAATGATAGAAAAGAGACAGGAGAATAAAGTGTAAGCTGATTGGGGAATATACCTTGCTTCCAGAGAACGATCTTCAGCCTTCACACTGCTACCTCTGAAAGGACATAAACGATTAAGTACATGATTAAGCCATGCTCTCTCTTTACTTGTATGTTATGATCCATTTCTCTTTATTGTCCCAGAAAAATATCATAATCCTGATGATAAGAGCAGAGCATTTGCATATCCTTTTCTAGCAAAAGCCCAAAAATGTTCTTCATAAAAGGAAGATGACAGCTTTTTTCAGAAAGAGTTTTAAATTAGATGACATCAAGGAGGGAAGGATCCAGAGCTAAATGAACATTTAGAGTAATATATATAAAACATTTTATCTCATTCACATTAGTTGAAAAGATAACTTTACAGAATGAATAATCAGATTCAGTTACACGGGCACACCGAGATGAATGTTGGCCATCATCATCATAATTACGGTCACCATCAGCACTCCTGCTTCTTGAGCCATGCTGGTAATCATCAGTGCTTGGACTTCTACCCCGGTATTCATCATCCCTATAACCATCCCTACCATAGCGATCTTCATTATCTCTGCCATAACGATCACCATCACGACTATACCGATCATCTTCCCTGTAGCCATATTCTCTTTCTCTGCCATAACCATACCCATATCTATCTTCATCCCTGCTTCCATATCGATCACCATCATATCTATCACCATAACCTCCACTGCCAGAATATGACCCCGGCTTATACATTCCACCTGTTGAAGTGTTTCGAAACCTGGCAACCCATTTACAACAGTTACATAGGTACGAGAAACCCAGATATACTTACATCTAAAGCACATTAGACCCTGTGATTCCAGACCTATAATCTGAAAACCAACAGTTTCAATGGAAAACCAATCGATCTTCTAAACCAAAAGAAAATAAAATGCCTGATATAGCAATGTCAGGTACTAGCTAAAAGCAGAAGCAGCAAAATGACCAAGCCACAAATCAAAATCAAGTAGTGTGAGCAGACTTACTTATCTCTGTTAGCAGCAGCTTTTTGTCTAACTTCTATTATCTTTTCTTTATCATTCACAAGGAGGACAAGACTCTGAGATTTCCTCCTAACATTGTTGCCCTGGTCTCTTCCACTGGAATCAATATATTGAAAATCGGACAATGTCTGTTGACAATTTCACATGGCATTTACCATCATATCAAGTTGCACTCGAAATTTACAAATAGTTTTTAAAAAAAAAAAAAAAAAGGGCCATCTGCATGACAATTGTTAAAGAACAATGTAACTTCAAGTGGAATCCAGGAAGAAGAAATTACAGATATTTGATAGGCATGTTCTCGGATCTCATCTATAACTCGTTCTGACCCATGAGCCACCAGATACTCCAGAACTGTCAAAGCCTGTTAATCAACATTATTAACCTCAAAAACTATAAGAACATTTTAAAACCAACAAATTGTGTAAAACAAAATGTCCTTGGAATGCATTCACCCTATTCACCGCAGCACATTAAAGAGCTTAAAAAATGTGTGAAAACATGTATTCTCAATTTCTTTATTATGAACAACTCTTTGGAATGTAACAATCAATTTTATAGTAATATTATTTGTTATCCTGCGTATGGATACAATTTAATATTTATCGACTATAAGTCAATAAATTGTCAGATTAATATGCTATAAAAACTTTCCATATTCCCATATTTTTTTGGGGAAATGAAAAACGTGCAGTGTCTTTGCATAGCAATAGTGCATAGTTACGGTTTTGGAAAAGGAATAAGAAAAGCAGCAAGCATTCATGAAAAAATTCAACTAAAATAGAAGTTCAATGGAAACCTTGTAGACATGCCGCCAATTCTTGCCAGTGTCATTAATCCGCTTCCAGATCACTGCCATAATCATCTGGTATTCATGGCTGCAGAAACGGTCAATATGAGCTTCTAAGAAAAACTACAATATCAAGCATCAAAAAAGTAGAAGTAAATGCTTACTAATTTCTGGTTGCCTGTGCAATATCTGCCAGAAGTGATCCATGAGGACCCCATGGTTCATTGCTGGTAGCATCAAGAACCTGGAAGCAGAAGATAGAAGGATCAACCTAATCCAGAATTTCCTTCTAAAATTATACTATGAAATCTTCAATATGATGAAAAATTCCGATAGAAAATTGTCAGGCTTTGGACGAATCCTTCCACCAATAATGAGAATGAAACATGGATTGCACACTTTCACAAAGAATGTCAAAAGAATAAAATGTTCACCTTCTGTTCGATCCCAGGAACTTTCAGCACTTTCTTATTTACTTCTCTTTTACTACAACAACACAATGGAGTGAGGCAGAATAAAATAGGACTGAATTCCAAAACAACATTAAAAAAAATGGCAAATTTAATCATAAATAGTCCAGGAAAATGCTTATTTTTCAGTAAGAATCCGAAATTATTCTATGTTTAGAAAATATAAATTAGTATGATTTTGCAGACGGCATGAATCCATACATATTAGGAACTGATAATCGCTATTAGGTCCGTGTCATTTTTTAACCGTGAATTGACAAACAGTAGACTTACAGGTCTCTAACAGTTTGACCAATGGCCTTCTTCATTGTAGTTGGTGTTCAGTATGATATATGAGCCAGCACCACAGAAACTTGTCCTATTTAAATAAAGCCTGCCTGAATGCAACATCAAAATTGAACACATGTTGAACGCCCAACTCAATCAAATAAAACATTGATCATATGAAAAGGCTTGACTACAGAGAATGACTCATCAGAGCAATCCAGTAATAACTCTCGTGAGAATCTGAATGGATCAATACCAGATAGGACTATTATCCTATATCACATCTCATAAAGTTAATCCCGGCGCGTGTCATAAATTTTCAATCGTAAAATACCAAAACTGATGAAATGACGTGAAATATATGAAGTCTTGAGAGCGGAAGGGGGTTAGACAGAACACCTACAACTTCCTCAGACAAAAAGAATTGAAAAGAACAAAGAGAGACCAAAAGGGGAAATCAGGACAGCAGACAAAGAAATGAGAAAAGCACAGCCTTTATACTGATCCAAAAAAGCCACCAATGAACAAGGAAAGAAAGACTGATAATAAACAATACACCATTTACATGATCAAACCCAAATAACAAGGTATTCCAATTCAGACCGAAGAGACTCATCGTAACAATGATTAAACTTAATATGTCCAACACATGCATCGGATCGAACACATTGAAATCTGAAAAAATCAAATCCAAACCAGATCTGAGTAACGCGAAATGAGATCGAACCTGATCCAATCGGGCGCTTTTTGTCGGCAGGAAGCGGAAAATGAATATGGTAGTGAGGGGGAGAAAACAAGACAGATATCACCAGAGATAAGAGGGATTCACAATACACAGGAGCTCTAGGAATTGCGATTCGATGATGTCTCACCCTCAAACAACCATATTACACCGAGAAAGAGAATGATGAGGGTGCCTGGGCTGTCTGCTGGCTGGCTGGCTGGCTGGCTCTGGATCCCCTTATTTCTCTTCAATTTTCTCTCTCTACAAACTCGGAGTTAAACGAAAGAAAAAAGGACGAGAAAGACAGCGCAACTTACACGCAGAGAATTGAGGAATAAAAACCTTTTCCATTTTTTATGGAGAATTATTTATTGTTATTATTTATTTATCAATTATCAAAAATATGCATGTATTGTTATAATTATATGCTTTTGGAAAAGCCTCTGGGCAATAATGATGTTTGTGCGAGCGAATGCCATCCAGAAAGCTGTATGGTTGAATGAATCGCTCACCTGTTTTGACAGAAACACAAGCGCCAACTTTTATTTATCTAAATATTTTTATTTATTTATTTTTCGTTATTTCTCTATACACAAGGGATACAGCCAATTTCTTTAATTCGTTTTATATTGGTCAAAATAATTAGGAAGTTTCCATTTCTCATCACGATAATTTATTGTCCAAAGTTGACTGGTTATACGTAATAGGCAAATCAAATCTATATTCATACTCGGCTTTCGTTCTCCAGCTATTTTCCATTCATATCTTCAAGGGAACGTTTGAAAACTCAGGTCTTTTGTTTTATATATCAAAGGTCAAGATTATAAAACAGTGTCACTTTTTTATTGTGCAATGACCACAGTTTTAACATCTGATCTGCTTTGGGGTAAATAATATTACATGAATTATGCTGCTTTATATACGTAAATGGCATAATTTCTTTTTTTATCACAAAAATCGGGGAAAAAATACACAATATTTCAATAGTACTACCTCCTGTCCTAATTATAAGAGCCAGTTGACTAATTTGAGAAGATTAAGGAAGTAAGTTGAGTTAGTTATTTGTTTTAAATAGGCGTTGTCTTTCCTAAAATATCCTTGCTAATCAAATGTATTGACTAGAACTATCATTGTTAAAAGGGTTATTTTGGAGAAAAATATAAATATGAGAGACAAAGTGAATTGGGTTCTTATATTTAGGACCAAAATAAAAGTCAAACAGAATCATATATTAAAAACTGGAGGTAATATGTAATGCGTGATGTGACTGATATAATCAATTTTTTAATGAAAATTCCAGGGGGTACAATATAGAAGCTAAGTCAAGTATTAATATACCCTGCCATGCAATTTATATATATTGATACGGGCTAGTGTTTCGTGACAGCCAGACACGTCTTCTGAGTTTTGGCGTTAGAGTCCCGTTAGGTTGGGAAAAAAACATTCTGCTCTGACTTTTAATATAAGATTTAATTTAAAAATTAACATTAATCTTATATATAAGACTTATTTTTATTGTTTATTAATTTTTTTAAATTAGTCTTATTGATATTTCCTTAACAATAATTAAGTAGAAAAGGAACAAAAGATATTAAAGAGGAAGATTATGGTATTTTAGAAAAAAAATCATATTAACCAATTTAACTAATATTTTTAATCTATTTAAATTAATTAATTGGATCTCACATTAAGAACCGGTATTAAGAACTACAGGAATATATTAAAAAAAAACTCAATGACAATATTTCCTCTTCAGGTGCTAATTGATGCTGATCAAAAGGATATTAGAAGCGCCGGATAGTTATTTTGCTAATTAGCTTTCATACTACTAACATATTTTTATTTTATTTTATTTATAAAACAAAGAGAAAGGGTTTTTTCTTAATCCCTTTATAAATTACATCATTAAATTTTTTATAAGATTATTAAACTTTAAGACGAAATAAACGAAATTTAAGTTTTTTATGATAAAACACATCAAAGAAATATTATAAACAGAATTAGAGGGCATATATGTTGTTGGTATCATTATCTAGAGTTGAAATGAGTTCACCGGCCAAAAACAAAAATGAGTTGAAATGAGTTGACGTATGTTATGATCTCCACTAATTAATTTTGCCTCATATTTCTTGTCGAAATTGATTAAAAGATAATCACTTGTAGAAATATTTGAATAAAAACATACCTTAATTTTAAAAATAATTTTATGTTGTATGAAATAAATAGTAAAATAATTCACCTCAAATTAGGAAAAAATATTTCTGGTAATAACCAAACACCCCATAGTCTCATTTTTCCATGAATTTTTTCTGGCGTGCTCTTGGTTTCATGAATTTTAATTAGCTGTATATCACTTCTCATCAAAGAATGACCGGTTATCCCGCCAAGGCGCAAACCCTAGTTAATGCTGGCGCGGGGAGGGCATCCCGGAGCCGTGGATTCTAGAATTTTCTTGCGTCCCTGTTCTTCCTTTCTTTTCCTGGTTTGATGTTGCGTAGGTCGGTGAGCTCTATTTTATTCTTCTTCATTCTATTCGCGCCTCTCTGTTCCTCTATTTTGCATCTCCTCACCCTTCACAAGCGACTTCCTTGTTGAATTTGTTGCTGCTCATAAAGCAATCATCTCTTCATCCTCTCAGAAATTGATGGATTTCTATAATTAGGTGGGGTATATCTTGCTTAACCTAATGATCTTCTAAATGGATGGAATATTATTTGATACTGTATTATTAAATGCTTTTATCGCCTGAACCATTTTTATCTTCAAGATGATTTTTTATGCTTGTTCATGTTTCTGCTACCTCGTGTGATTCGGAGGACTATCTAGACTTGTTCGCAATAATTGTTGTTTCCACATATGCAGAAACCAGTTGGTTGAAGAATATATCTATCGTTCCTAGATGGGCCAATTGAAATTGGATAATTCTTGTGATAAATGCTGATAAAATAATCCATTTTCTGTATTGTCGTATATAATGAATGAATGGCTTGAAAAAACGTATTTAGCTACTTAAGCTTGGTACCGTGGATATCAAAGTTTGACTTTTTTTATGTTGCTCAAATAATTATGAATGTGTGAGAAGAAAGCAGTTAAATAACATCTGCAACTCATGAATATGAAGCACCTCACAATTAAGAACAATTACATTATAAGGAGTTCTAGGTTCATGACCATCTATAGGATAAACAATTATAAGTGATTTATGAAGAAACGCCAGTAAATATTTTGGGGCCTGGTCTATGTTTTAATAAGATGGGCCTAGTCTAATTTTGGGTCTAGGCATTGTGTTGAGAGGATATCTAACCTGACTAGTCCCATGCGTACCCTGGAGAACTCATTTTGTGGGAAAGCAGGCATCTTATAATAAAAACTAGGTGATCAATTGTTTCATAGCTAGACATGCATATACATCAACTATTTGGGGATACGTATGGATTTGGGTTGTGAATATTTTGATTCTGAATCTCTTAATTGCCGTCCTCTCATTAGATTGATGTTGTGTGTAAAACAGATCCAGTGTGGATTTTTTTTTGTCCTGACCAGAATTTTGCATAGAATATTGATGTTTTTGTTATTGGGTTAAGCTTGGATTCAACCTAGATGTGCTTCGTTAGTAAACTACGTTTTTCTTCTTTGCACAAGCCAGAGGCCGTTGTTGTAAATTACTCTGGCGTCCCGGTATTATTGGAGTGAATGAGTCATCTCAGAGGGTTATCAGTACTCTGAGGGTTATTAGCTTGAAATCCCCTGCTTGGAGCCAAATTTTAAAATGCCACTTGCGCTTGGAGAATACATATTAATGGAAGACAAGCTGAAGCTTTTGAAGCGAAATCTCTCTTAAAAAAGATGGGGAATTTGTTAGTGAACATTACCTTGAGAAGCTGAAAGTGAAATTGGAAAAGCTAGGAAGCATTTAGAGATCCTCTGAAATCCTACCTAGTCATCATCTATATTTTTATTGGATTATTCAGAAGTTCTTGTGCTAACATGAACCCACAAAATCGATTCTCCATACTTAGAACCTATGGGGCCATATCTCCCGTATCATTGAACTATGCTAGTGGTTTTGTGTAAATTACATTTTCCTTTGCTGTTTTGCTAAATGGATGGTATTTATTAGTTGCGACCTCTTTCCCTTTAAATCCCTACCGTCCAAGTGGTGCGTCATTGACTGCCCCAATTAAACTCATACTATGTGATTGTCAATAATTGTTGTGCTGTAGGGCAGGTTGATTGATTGATAGCCTTTTTTGAGGTCTTCCATGCATTAATCATATTTCCTTGCATTATGAAATATGGATTTGATCGCCCATTTATTTTTTCTATTCAGCTGATCCAATAGTATGTCTCTTTTTTGATTGTAGGGCTAAAATAATTTGCTGATATCCAAGAAATCCTCAATTCACAGAAGAAGAATTCGAGCTTTGGTGTCTTAGAGTTTATTTGATCTATTATTTTGCTATGGTAAGTTAAGGAGATTCCTTGTTATAAATTTTCTTCTCTAGTTTTGAATGAAATAGAGAGGATAGGGAGTGGAAAATATATTGACCTGGTATGCTGAAAGAAAGCAGGCTCCTGACCCCGCTGTCAGAACGTATTGATTTTAGAAATCTTCCTGTTCCAGATTCTGAATAGGATCTTAAGTTTAATTGAATTATTTGCGCAGGCTGCAAAGATTCTTGCAAACCTGATAGTGATGGGTGGTGGCATTTTAGCTAGAGCATTTGTTCAAGCTTATCGTCAAGCTCTTGCTAGTAAGTTCCTTAAATCGTCTGGCAAAAAAGGTTTCTTCGATTTACTATTTCTATGCATTGTTCTCCAATTTGGACATCTTGAAGCTGGTTTACTGTTAGGTTTTGTACCTGAGGTGGTTTTCAATTAATTTTTTGCTGACTGCTATATGCCTTGAACATATCTTGCTAATACCTTTTCAGCTTAGGGTTCTTCATTTCGGGTGCTTGATATCTAACGTCCAGTTCTACACTGGAATCGTCTAGGCTTTGAGTACTTGACATGAATACGTCTGGGTGAGAGACAGTCTCTCTCAACACACAAATCCCCTCATGGAAAGAATTTGGTATTACTAATAACCAAACCGGTTGCCCAACAAATGTCTCGCTGTTTTTTCCTCTTAAACCAAGGTTTTATATGGTAGAGTTCGTGACCACGCCAACTTTGGCTTATACGTCATTCTCGTAGTTTTATGATTTCATTTGGTTTGCGTTTGTTTCGGGGACGTCAAGCTCTTCCAAAGATTTTTTTTTTTGGGGGGGGGGGGGTTTAGTGATGAATATATCTTGGTAGGGTTCTATAATCATGGCATGTGGGAATTCATGTCCTCTCTAGTCTAGCCAAAGTTTGCTGGCTGTTTATTTGGTCATGCTATTAACAAGAAGTTGTCACAGATGCCTCGAAAAATGGTGTGGCACAAGAGACAATACAGAATACCATTCGAAGAGCTAATAAGGTTATGACAGAGCAGGAGGCTCGGCAGATTCTTGGCGTGACAGAAGAAACCCCTTGGGCAGAGATTGTGAAGGTCAGTCTCTTGACTTGTTTCTGGTCATTACCGATTTGCCAAATATTAATTGCTAAAACATTCTTCTGTGCAGAGATATGACAACTTGTTTGAAAGCAATGCCAAGAGTGGAAGTTTCTACCTTCAGTCAAAAGTTCATCGCGCAAAGGAACGCCTCGAGGCTGTCCACCAACAAAAGGGCCCGGACACACCCACTTGAGGACATCAATTTTTTCACCTGTCAACCTCATGTATAACTATTTTGGGCTCGACTTAACAAGCTATATTTTATGCGATTTTATTTTTGCATTCTCAAAGTTTCACAAAACCGAAATTATCCTCAAAGGATTGTAAATGAATTGCTTGTTAACTGACTGCAAATAAAGCCATTCAAAAGCACTGAGATGATGTGCTATTCTTTTAACCTACTTGTAACGAAAATGAGGGAATACAACACTCTTCATAGTTGCTCTCTTGGCTTGCCTATGCTTTCTGTAATGCAGAAGAGTTTATTTTGATGTTTTCTAATATAAACGCGGAGTTCCAAGAAATATCTGATAGCGATGCATTTTTTCAGATTTTGTGAAATATTTGGAAGATCGTATTAACGATGAGAAGTAATTCATAGGGAGTTAGAGAAGTCAACACTGGCGTGGAACTCGTCATTATGTATGTGGTGGCAAAGTTTTCTTTGGTTGATAGGATGGAAAACAGCTCCGAGGAATGACTTTGAATGCCAACAATACGTGGCAAGGCATGAGGGGTAAAGAAAAAAAGGACAAACCGGTGTATTATTTGGGACCTATTCATCTACTCCTGGCGTGAAATGATCATCTACATGTTTTGCTTGCTTTGTTGGGTGTTGCTATTTTTATTCTATTACAATCCAAGCATTTGTCACTTTCACCATTTTGTCGGTCTCTTGCTTTTGAAACTTCCCACTTCTTCGAGCAAGGATGCTTTCCGCGATGACCAATTCCTGTACATCTCCTTTATAATGATCATTCTCTAGAGCCTCCAAACGTTCGCGCCCCTTCTCTTTTGTCTTTTATATTCTCAAGAATCTATATTTATGGTTACATATGCAAGGTCTGGATCACCTTCAATGATATCAATTGGAACACAGCCACACACAACTGTCCTATATTAGATTGTTTACATCAAGTTGAACCTCTTTTCTATCTTCATGTCTACCCATTCAGAACAAGTTGCCGCTTTTCTCGTAGATTCATGATACTTAATATCTTTTTCTTGCTGGTAGTAAGAAGAAATTAATGATCTATATGAAGCTTTATTTTTCTCTCTCTTCGGAAAAAAAAGGCGCAAATGACTTTTTAAGTTCCTACCAAGCACAAATCATGCATCAATTTAGGTCACTAAATACTGTTATTAATTAATGAGAATAATTGAAATAGGCTCTGTATGAGACAAGGGGTGAGAAATAATTAAACCTATAATTGAGGGCCCACTAATTAAATAAATGGATTTTATGTATAATGGGGAGTTTGTGCTGATTTATCAATAGGGTTGCCAGCTTGATCTCGGGAACTTTAGCATTAGAGTCTTGCATTTGTATATACATAAATGTGGATAATGAGCCAAGTGCAGTTAGGATAATCCAATGGATAATAGAATTATTGGTGCTTCCATCAGCCAAAGAAGAGATATAAGAAGTATTGCCTCTAATAAGTTCATCTGTCTGTTATCTCATCAATGGTGATATTCTTTGGACTTTATGATCAGGACACTTGAGGCCGAATGCTGGAGGAGATTAGCTTTTCATTAGACTGAGCAAACTAATACAGACCATTATTGAATTTTAATACAGTTTCCATTACCAAGAAAAAGAAAAAGTTCTTGTGAAGAATTTAAAGTTAGTAGAAAATGGCTTATATAATACTCTCTCTGATTCTAAATATAAGACCCTTTTTATAGTGTAATTTACACTACAAAAGGGGTCATTACACTATAAAAAGAGTCTTATATTTAGGACCGGAGGAGTATGTATATATTGAATTTTCTGGTTTGAGTATTATAGCTTGTCAAGCTAGAAGAGAACAAAGGGAATAAGTTGCAGAGAGCTGGCCATTAACTTCTGTCGGGCCCTCAAGACCATGTCTTGCTGCTAGGTTCTGGAGAAGACAGAGAGCACTAACATATGAAAAGAAAAAAGAGGATCTTCGCACTATGGCATATATACTCTCACTCAGATTAATAATTACTGAAGTGAGAGAGAAGAGAGCCATGCTTGATCTCGCAGGAGGAGTTTAAAAAAATCCCAAAAAGGAGTGGACCTTTTGGCTTTGGAACACTCTCGATTGATGGAATTTGGGTATTGGAACCTTTTTTGTGTTGACTTTGGAGCTATTTGAAATTTCAGCAGTGGTTAATATATACTTGAAGCAAAACTTTGAAAAAAGGAAGTGAAGAAAAATGAATTCCTTTATTACTATGCCCATTGTTACAAACAACACAACAGGATCAACTTCAAAAATGACACAATAAATAAAATTCAAATCATACACGGCCACATTAATTCTATACATAAATAATTTAAGATCACTAATAATGCAGATTGTACTCATCACTTTCAAATGCATATACATTTTAAATTAATCTTGCTTCCTCTTCCTGACTTGTTTGTCACTTGAACACCATAAGCACAGGACGTTCAGCATGGCCACCATAGAAATAGATGCAACATTGTCTGAATTCTGGATATTATAGCTCTGAGATAACATATTCAGACTCTTATTCGAAAAACTTAAACTGGAAGCTAGATCTTGAACTCTGCTCCAACGGGAGCCTGCCTTTATTTGACAAAAAAAACTACAAAAACCTGAAATCATATTGAAGATAAAACTTTTAGTAACGAATGATGTCAATACGAAACGTGTGTGCATGTGTGAACGCATTCATTACCATAACAAGTGATTTATTAACTTACATAATTTATAATGGACGGTCATTTTGCATCCCAGGCTTAGTAGATTGGAGGTGGCGGGGAAGCATAGACGTAGACTGGTGGTGGAGATGGGGATGGTGGGGGAGGGGATTTGTAGTAGTATGGAGGTGATGGGGATGGTGAAGGAGGTGGTGGAGAGTTGTAGTGGTATGGTTTTGGAGCTGGAGCCTCAACAGGTGGGGGTGGAGACTTGTAGTAGTAAGGTGGGGGAAGAGATGGTGATGGTGGGGGTGGAGATTTGTAGTAGTATGGTTTTGGAGCTGGAGCCTCAACTGGTGGGGGCGGAGACTTGTAGTAGTAGGGTGGAGGGGGAGGAGGAGACGGGGAGGAGGGCTCTTGTAGTAGTAGGGTGGTGGTAGAGATGGGGATGGTGGGGGTGGAGAGTTGTAGTGGTATGGTTTTGGAGCTGAAGCCTCAACTGGTGGGGGTGGAGACTTATAGTAGTAAGGTGGAGGGGGAGAGGGAGATGGTGGAGGAGGGCTCTTGTAGTAGTAGGGTGGTGGTAGAGATGGGGATGGTGGGGGTGGAGAGTTGTAGTGGTATGGTTTTGGAGCTGGAGCCTCAACTGGTGGGGGTGGAGACTTGTAGTAGTAAGGTGGAGAATGAGATGGTGAAGGGGGTGGTGGAGATTTGTAGTAGTATGGTTTTGGAGCTGGGGCTTCAACTGGTGGGGGTGGAGACTTGTAGTAGTAAGGTGGAGGGGGAGAGGGAGATGGTGGAGGAGGGCTCTTGTAGTAGTAGGGTGGTGGGGGAGATGGGGATGGTGGTGGGGGAGACATGTAATAGTAAGGCGGCTTATATTCAGGTGAAGGTGGGGGAGGGCTCTTATAGTAGTAGGGTGGCAGGGGAGATGGTGATGGTGGGGGTGGGGATTTATAGTAGTAGGGTGGTGTGTAGACTGGTGAAGGTGGGGAGGGCTCTTGTAGTAGTAAGGTGGTAGTGGAGATGGAGATGGTGGTGGAGGAGACTTGTAGTAATATGGTGGTTTATACTCAGGTGAAGGTGGAGGAGGGCTCTTGTAGTAGTATGGTGGATAGTAAGGCTTTGGTGAAGGTGGTGGTGGGGACGTGTAATAGTAGGGTGGTTTGTAGTGGGGTGAAGGAGGAGGAGGACTCGTGTAATAATATGGTGTAGGGGTGGGCTTGGGCTTAGGCTTGGGGCAATCCTGATCATGAGGGTTCTTGGAAGCATAGGCAAATGGCTTAGACTTAAGCACAACTTCATACTCGTTCTTGGAGTACACCTTCAAAGGAGTTCCCTCATTCAATTTAGTGGGGAAGTTGTAGGGTGAATCCTTAGGAGGGGCATGGAGATGAGCCTTGCATGCAGTGGCTCCGTATTTGGCATAGTCAAAGCCCTCAACAGTAATTGCATATTTTCCATTGATCTTTGTTTTACCATAACTCTTGATAGTCTTCTTTCCAACTTGGCACACCACTTCAACAACAGCACCTACCCCATGATATACAATAAGTATGTATAAGGCACAATCAGTAATAAAATATACATACACAATTGAAAAGAATATTATAAATATACTAATAAATAACTTTTTATTTTAATTACTATCATTTTTGAGCCAACTAGTTGATTTGTTTCCATTTTGGATACACAATCATTTTATATCATTAAAAATGAATTATAAATTTAACTATTCCATATCAAGGAGATATATATATATATAGCTTGCATCTCATAATTCGAAAGTTGAGTTATGATTTTTTAATCACTAAGTTTTATAAATCATAACAATATATATCAACAAATTTTTTATTATTTTTATTTGCATCTAATTAAAGCTAAAGATAAATTTTCAAAAGATTTTCTCAAATTTTGAATGCAAGTTATTTATATAATGATTATTTCCCAAAAATTATAATATCACATATGATTTCCAAATAAAATTTAATAAACTTATGATTAGAAGAAAGGTCATATATATGTAAAGTATTTGCAAATTTTTCAAGAGATAATAAGATGGCACAAAGTTTGAGCCAACAAAAAAAAATGTCTACTAAAGTTTGAGAAAGAACTTGTGAATGATAATGAAAAGGAATACTTTGAAGCCCAAACTTATAAATATGTATAATGAATCAAATTTACTTCTTTTTTTTAATTCAAACTTTGTACCTTTGAGGTGTTTCTTGTTGTGTGACTTCTCTGGATATTCCATGTTATAGCACTTGTAGACATAAACTTTACCAATCACCCTAACAATCAATGGATGGTGGTGAGGGTATGGGTGAGGGTATGGGTGTGGGTGAGGGTGAGGGTACGGGTGTGGAGGGTAGACAGCGGGTGGTGGAGGAGAATTGTAATAGTAAGGTGGGTGTGGCATTGGAGATGGAGGAGGAGGAGACTTGTAATAGTAAGGTGTTGGTGCTGGAGACTTCATTGGTGGTGGTGGGGACTGATAGTAGTATGGCTTTGGTGAAGGTGGTGGTGGGACTTGTAGTAGTAAGGTGTCGGTGCTGGAGACTTCATTGGTGGTGGTGGGGACTGGTAGTAATAAGGCTTTGGAGAGGGTGGTGGTGGAGACTTGTAGTAGTAAGGTGTTGGTGCTGGAGACTTCACTGGTGGTGGTGGGGACTGGTAGTAGTAAGGCTTTGGTGAGGGTGGTGGTGGAGACTTGTAGTAGTAAGGTGTTGGTGCCGGAGACTTCACTGGTGGTGGTGGGGACTGGTAGTAGTAAGGCTTTGGAGAGGGTGGTGGTGGAGACTTGTAGTAGTAAGGTGTTGGTGCCGGAGACTTCACTGGTGGTGGTGGGGACTGGTAATAGTAAGGCTTTGGTGAGGGTGGTGGTGGAGATTTGTAGTAGTAAGGTGTTGGTGCCGGAGACTTCATTGGTGGTGGTGGGGAGTTGTAGTAATAAGGTGGGTGAGGTTTAGGAGATGGAGGAGGAGGAGACTTGTAGTAGTATGGTGGTGAAGGAGATGGTGAAGGAGGAGGTGGGGAATGATAGTAGTAAGGCTTTGGTAAAGGTGGTGGTGGAGATTTATAGTAGTAAGGCTCTGGTGCTGGAGACTTCACCGGTGGTGGTGGAGAATGGTAATAGTAGGGTGGAGGAGGAGATGGTGAAGGAGGTGGAGGGGAGTGGTAGTAGTAAGGCTTTGGTGATGGTGGTGGTGGAGACTTATAATAGTAAGGCTCTGGTGCTGGAGACTTCACTGGTGGTGGTGGAGAATGGTAGTAGTATGGTGGTGGAGGAGATGGTGAAGGAGGTGGAGGTGAGTGGTAGTAGTAAGGCTTTGGTGAAGGTGGTGGTGGAGATTTATAGTAGTAAGGTTCTGGTGCTGGAGACTTCACTGGTGGTGGAGGAGAATGGTAGTAGTATGGTGGAGGTGGTGATGGTGATGGTGGTGGGGGAGATTTGTAGTAATAAGGCTTTGGAGATGGTGGGGGTGGAGATTTGTACTCATATGGTGGTGGAGGAGATGGTGAAGGTGGTGGTGGAGACTTGTACTCATAGGGAGGAGCCTTGTGCTCAACTGGCGGTGGTGGAGATTTGTACTCATATTTTGGAGCAGGAGCCTTTACTGGAGGGGGTGGGGACTTGTATTCATAGGGTGGAAGGGGAGACGGTGAGGGTGGAGGAGGAGACTTGTACTCATAAGGAGGAGACTTGTGCTCAACTGGTGGTGGTGGAGATTTGTACTCATATTTTGGAGCAGGAGCCTCTTTCGGTGGTGGGGGGGACTTGTACTCATAAGGTGGTGGAGGAGATGGTGAAGGTGGTGGCGGAGACTTGTACTCATAAGGAGGAGACTTGTGCTCCACCGGTGGTGGTGGTGGAGATTTGTACTCGTATTTTGGAGTAGGTGGTGGTGGAGATTTGTACTCATATTTTGGAGCAGGAGCCTCTTTGGGTGGTGGTGGAGACTTGTACTCATAAGGTGGCGGAGGAGATGGTGAAGGTGGTGGAGGAGACTTGTACTCATAAGGAGGAGACTTGTGCTCAACCGGTGGTGGTGGAGATTTGTACTCATATTTTGGAGCAGGAGCCTCTTTGGGTGGTGGTGGAGACTTGTACTCATAAGGTGGTGGAGGAGACTTGTACTCATAAGGAGGAGACTTGTGCTCAACCGGTGGTGGTGGAGATTTGTACTCATATTTTGGAGCAGGAGCCTCTTTGGGTGGTGGTGGAGACTTGTACTCGTATGGTGGGGGAGGAGATGGTGAAGGAGGAGGCGGAGATTTGTACTCATAGTGTTCTGTTGGTGGCGGAGGAGAGTAATAAGGATAAGCATCAGCAGCCACCAAGCTGAGAGTAGTGGACATGAGAACAATGGCCAATGTGAAGGCCATTGGCCTTAGACGACCCCTTAAGGGGTCGCCACGCCTAGCAACCATGAACGGAAAATGAAGAAAGCTGACCACTTCCGGCCAATGCCCCGATCAAAACGCTCACTGCTATGACTTTTGAGAGAGAGAGAGAGAGAGAGAAGGTTTTGGTGGATGACTGAGAAAGGTGGGAGGGAGGGGGCAGTACTTATAGTGAAAGCGAGTCGTTAAGAAGGAGCTGTCATGAGGGGCCGATTCAAAATATCCAATTGGCTTCGTTTTAAAATTTTAATGCACAAATAAAAGAAGCTTCACCAGCTGGCCCTGTGACTTTTCTTTATTCCATTTCCCTCCATATGGCTTCAACTCGTCCCCCTTCATCCAACCACTCTTTATAATAAATTTAACACAAATTTATTAAAGCATCCATCTCCCTTCCCATTATTTGAACCGAATTAAAGCTATTCATATACCCAGAAAAATGAAAAAGGAAAAATCTTACTATTCTTTTATCATTTCCCTCTTATACCTGCCCCTCTTTATTCGTCGCCTATCTTGACGAAAAAGAAACTCCAAAATGCTTTTTACTTGTTCGCTAGCCAGCGTCATCTGCTTTTTCCTTTTTGTTTATTGTTTTGGGGACGGAATTAACAGTGTGTAAAATGAGATATATAGATCCATATCTGAATATATTATAAATAATTGGTCATTTAGGTTGGAGTCCTTGGTGGCCTGATCACTAGCTGGCCCTTAGATCTAAACCCTTTTTTAAATTTTGGGGAATGAGGACATTTTACTTTCATTTATATTGGTTTCGAACTCAAGTCTTTGGCAGCTTTTGATGGGGAAGAATAATCCAATGTTCTGCACATTTATTATTTCTCTCATTTTGTTATTTGGAGCCATATATCCACCACCTTGTGCGTGGGGGGGAGGGTGCTCTTCCCCAGCAAAAAATGACAAGATAATTAATATTAATGATGAAATTTTTATTTTCCCAAATATGATTTACTTCCATAGGTGTTCTCCGAAAACACATGGTGCGCATAATTATAAAAGCTCATTATTTGTTTTAATTTTGGGGGGTAGGAGACAGAAGAAGAACATGTTAAAAGGAAAGCGCAGCCTCATTTCCTCATTGACTCACTTTTTCTATTTTTTCTTTTTTTCTTTTTTGAGAATTTTTATGGGCCATGTGGCTTCTCAATTATGAGAGTAGCATGTGATGTTGCGACCACTTCTCGTCAAGTGGGGAAGCAGCTTTTCCACATTTTGGGGCTGCGAAAATCCAACAAAAATTAAATGGAAGAAGCAATTATTTCTTTAAAATATATATAAATATTAAAAGAAAAAGAAAAATTTCCTGAAGAGTTTCATTTCGTGCAAGAAACCATAATTGAAAAATATTGCTTCGGCCTTCAACTTTAGGGTTGTCCTTCTGCTCGTTCGAAAAGGACATTATTTTTTAAGCAATTTATGGACCACCCGTGAATCGTTCCCATAGTTAATTAATTTTTTCTCAGAAAATAAATTAGCATAACATAAAATTCCTTAACACCGGCGCCATTTAATTAAATTCCTGTCTTATGCTTCCTTCGTTTGGTAGTCGTAACATGTATGGAATTTTTCTGAACAACCGCGTGCAGTAGGAAAAATATTTATTTCATGTTGAAAATCGTGTGTGCGCGTATATATAGGTTTTAGCAATTAAATTGTCGTATTTTCAAAATTTGGCATATAATAAATATGTCTATGTATAAAAAAAATCTGGGGAAGAGAGGAACGTGGACGGTAATTGTCGTATTTTAGTACATGTATAATTTGGCTTATTAATTTTGTTTAAGTAGAATCGATCGTATAAATAAATAAATAATATTGGGTTCTTACACAAAACAGCTGGCCCAGAATAAATATATATATTATATTTAATTACTTTGAAAAGTCAAGATTCCTGCACACGATCTATTACTGTGCATTTTAACTTTAAGACTTTTAGGGGAAACGTACGCTAAGGAGATAATATAATTAAGTCGTGTTACTTTTCTTTTATTTCCTTTCCTTTTTCTTTTTTTTTGGACTTTTAACAGGGGTGAAGGGTATATAAGTCGGTAATTACTGAAACTAAATCCGCCGATTATATTAAATTAAAGATCCATATATATGGGGTTTGCGAAGTGGTGCACGACCCTAATTATTATTACCATATATAAAAGCTGCAAATTAACCCACCATGCCCATGTGATTTCATACCAAATTTCTAGGGCTTGTCCCCTCTCTCTCTCTCTCTGGATTTTTTTTTTTTAATAAATTGATTCTCTAAGTCGTGCGTTGCTGATTGCAATAGAGTCCCACGTTGAGAGCCTAAGCAGAGCATTATATTAAATGTAGAAGTTTTAATAGCTGCGTATTCAATTAATCTGGGTCTTATGTTTACTTTGTCTGGTAACATTAATTGATAGAGTGAGGTATTTATAAACGAGCATTTAACCGTAAAAAATTGGACGTGTCCTTCAAGGAGTAGAGAAAATCAGATTAATAAATAAATATGTATATGTATACATTATTACTTTGAAAAGTCAAGATTCCCACACCCCACCATGGAGAGAGAAATTATATACAGACGCAGTGGCGTCGATTAATAACTTTGATACAGGATACCCTAATACTCCTCCGGTCCTTATTATAAGACCCAATTTGACTTTTTATTTGGTCCTAATTATAAGACCCAATCCATTTTGTCTCTTATATTTATGCATTTTTTTCCAAGATAATCCTTCTAATAATGACAGTTTTAGCCAATATACTTAATTAGCAAGGATATTTTAGGAATGACAACACTTATTTATTATAAATAACCAACTTAACTTACTTCCTTAATCTCCTCAAATAAGTCAATTGGGTCTTATAATTAGGACCGGAGGAGTAGTAGGATAACGTGATTTGCCTCGTCATCATGATTTTGGAGGAAATTACACATATTAACCCGGTAATTAGCTGTTTGGTTACTTTTTCCTTTTTATATATATTTTAAAGCCGAGTCAGTGATTATTGAAATGCAGTAATTAAATATATAGTATGTGTTAGATAGTGGTGACGAATCATTATTACCACAATAAAGGCGTGCAAAATAACTCATGCCTCATCATGACCATGTCATCCATTTTGCACATTTATAAATAATAGGGCCAGATTTCTAGCTAAGGCCTCTCTCTGGCTGAGTGCCTAAAAAGAGCATTACATATTTAATAACATACGCGCGATGCTCTTGTTGAGGAACCTTTCTGTAAATTAAGTTAAGATTCATAAAGTTAACAAAGGATTTGAAAATTAGTCGTCGGTGAAAACCTAGCTATATTCTTATTGGTTTGATTTTGATGAGAACTTTTCGTTTTATTATTGCACTATCTATAATTTTAGTGCAATTTATTCTATGATATAAACGTAGAAAAGGTTGGTTATTGAGGGATCATTGTCTTCTGAGTATGACAAGCGCATACTTTTTGAAGGGTGAGAAACCTAAAAAGAATGAGACCTCCAATTGAACGAGGTGAGCACCATAAAGATGAACTCAATATATATACCATATCTTAACTCACAACTTAATACCTGTATCAAATCAGGTCTGTTCAGATTTAATATATTCTAACAACGTAACATTTAATCAAATAAACGATGGCTTGGTGTATTTACGTATAAGTGAATCAAAACACACATATATGAACATATGTTTGTGTGGGAGACAGTGAGGTTGGTGTGGGAAATAAATAAAAAACGCAAGGCGTTACTTTTATGCTAATAATGTTGGAATGATGTAGAGCAGTATAAATTATATATACGAGATAGGGACTAAATAATCATGAGAATTGAGAAGGCAGGTGCTCTTTTCTTTTTGAGGTTCTGGTTATTATGACGATGGATGCTACCAAATGCCATTTTGGCTGAAGTGAGTGATGTTTCTGTTACTTGTTGCACTTTTTCACTCTCAAGTTATCTCTTTCTGCTTTTCACTTTAATTTTTCCTGCTTTCCCATCCCATGCCTTCCTCACACTTTCCTCTTCTCGTCTCCATCCACTCCTTTTGACCCACTCTTGTTTCCTATTCATTTTTGTCTCTTTTCTATATAAATATATATATTGGTTTAATTTATTTTCTTTTTCTGTGTATGTCTTTGAACACTACCTAATTAATCCTACCCCCGCATCTTCTTCTTCGCTTCTAAAAAAACATTATTATATTTTGCTTGGGATGTCGACAATTACATACATGGTTCACTTAATACATACATATATATATATATATATCGATTGTATCTGAGAGAATTTATTTGAGATATGAAGAACTATGCATTAAATTTCAACATGGTTGATCGCGGATTTCATTTTATATATGTTTGGTGAAAATGTTGTATATATCATTCAGTAATATCTAGGAGGTGGTTGAATGAAGGATCTAAAATAGGCAAAAGTTTACAGGGAAAGAAGAGATTTTGACTGATAAATAATGCTTAAAAAGGGAAATGATATACACACAAACACACAAGCAAATAAACATAATTAATGAAAACAAAAGGAGGATTAATTAGGAACACAATAATCGGGTTATGATGATGATGCATGGGATAATGGCTAATTAAATTAGTGAGCGTGCATGTGCCCACCCCCATCAGTTTTCACATTCAATCAAACTTCTTTAACCTTCAAAAAAAATAATAATTATGGAGGAGATCACTACGCGACAGATAATTGTACTAGGAGCATCACATTTTATATATATTCAAGAGACTTGGCAATTCAGCCACGTCGATCATATATACTTTACCAACGTGACAGCTTCACGTGTCTGTATCAAAGACCATAAACGTTGACCGCCACACTCTCTTCATATTTTCTGACATATAATAACCACCGTTGTTATATATATAATTTTTGCAACACCATTAATTCCAGTGGGAAGAGGACCGAAGACCTAATAATTTCCTTTTTTTTAAAATGCATAGTATAAAATGAAAATTAAGGCTCTTTAGTTAATTACTTATTGAATATTTCAATAAATTTTCGTTTAGAATTATCGATGAAGTCGAGTGAGCACGTTCTTTGTAGATTTATATCAAACACGAATTAATAGAAGAATGGCTAGATTCATGTATACCTTCCTTTATATATTATACAAGGATCGAGATCTTCTATGCATATTTATATTTCATGTGCCTACATTGATCCAACTATAAGTTCACATGAATGGGCATGAGAATGGGAATTATTTGAGTGAATTGTTCTCTGTGTTTTTTTCCCCCAATTAGTAATGTCCATAAGTTTTCACTAATAAAGAAAAAGAAAAGTTAAATATATTAAAAAAATAATGACTTCTCTCATAAAATATAAACAATTAAAGATATTTATTGTTTAATTGCTTAACTTTTTTATTTTGAATTGAAAATTATAAAATGTGAATGTTTTTATTTTTTTTAGAGAAAAATTATTTATACTACTTGGATACTAAATGTTAGTCACTTGTGTGTGTGAAAACAAAAGTAAGACTATTTGTAAAAATAGAGTATTAATGAAATGAGCTGTGGCAACTGATTAAAGTCAAGGATTATATGAAGAAAATATTGGATTGCCTTATAGCAAGGGCTCCTTCTGAAAGGGAAAGATGTACCTACCGTGCGTGAATAATATATTTATTTCTGAGGAAGAAATTAATTAACTAATTAACAAGTATTTTTATCACTTTGAAATACTATTTAAATCGTGATTTTTGCAAATGCACTAAAAATCCCAAATATGGTTAGGTGCAAGTTGAGTCGTAATATAATTTAATGTAGGTTGTCAAAAGAAGAGGAATTTAAAGAAAAAACATTAGTGAGGGTCACGAATTTTATTATAATCAACCCTCAAACGTAGTCAAACTCAAATTTGATATTTTTATTTTAAATTAAGTAAGAATTCAACCAAGGCAACGAATTATTTTTTAAAAAAATCATTAACATTAATTATTAATCTTGGGAAAAAAACAAGAGTTGAGAAAGCTACAGTTTACCAGATTAAAATTGAAATTAATTACTGGATAAACCGTGACTAGTTAATTGATTAAGGACACATGGAAGCATTAATTGTGGAGCGTACAGAAAAACTTTTTTTTATATTTGGTTGGAAGCGTACAGCATCGGAGTTTCTCGAGTTTTGTTGATCTATCCGTTTGGGGTTTTGTTTTTGTGTTTTTCTACTTCGTTGACTTTCCCTCTTGACGCATTCAAAATTATACTACCCCCCCCCCCCCAAAAAACAAATAAATCAGTAAAGTTAAAGTAATATACAGAAATTTTCTTTAATTACCACTAGCACAATACATATATTTGTTATTAATGATATTGGTTTATTTCAATATTATTTATTTTACTTCGAAAAAAATTAATTTACTTCAAATTTGAAGAGTGACGACTGCATTTATTTTAGTCAGATGCCTGGTTTATATTATAACAAAATAACACACACACATGTGTGCACACTCCACAAAGGGAGCATAAATTTTAAAATGGAGAATGATTGCGTAATTCAAAAAAAATTTTAGGGAAGCATATATGATATCCTTAAAAAAAATCAATTAATATAATAATATTGCCCTTATCCTAATGGCCTGTTATATAATTTCCCAAAGCCAGACTGTCAGATATTGATAGCCACTATCTTGCGAATTACATATTTTGAAATACAACAATCATTAGTTGCTTTTTCAGCACATAACGTGTAAGGCTTGCCTTCTAGTTAACCTCATATTCCTAATTATATATTAGCGCTATCTTTAAAGCACTAATCAAGTATTTAATTACTAAACTTATTTTAATTACTTCAGTCAATCAAATATTAATATTCTCAATATGATTGTACTCGTTAAATGTATCTGCCTAGCTAGATACCTAGCTATATGTGGATTCGGAAAAATTAGTTAAGATGAGAGATTTATCTTAATTAATTACTTTTAAATTTATGTGTTCTAAAGATTAATTCCTTGTTCTGTTCAATGATTAATTGATATGGTCCCTAGCTAATAATGTCTTCGTCGGGAGCCTCCTTAATTAAGCTTCTTAATTGTTTATGTGTTTCACAAGAAAAAGAAAGAAGTAAAAAGCTTGTTGAAGGCGGAATAATTAATGTTGAAATACTAACTAATCCCAAGTTGTTAATTATACAAGTAAAAAGCTAGCTGAGCTAGGTACAGCTGATCGATTTTGATCTCGTTGCTTCCACGACTTCCTATCATGCATGATTTGTGTATATATATTTCCT